GTTTCGGCTTGTGGCCTTCATCAGGGTCATAGTAAAACATTGTAAAAATTGCTTAAATACAAGACAGGAAACAGAAAAAAATTTCAAATTAACCAGTCAAAACTTCATAGATAGGTCAGCTGACATATAATAGGTAGGTATTGGTTAATTGGCTAAGTCCCGCCCAAGTAAATACCGGACTAGATCATTAGTGATGAGGAGGAGGGGGGTGACATAACCCCCATATGTCTGAAAATAACACATGCATGAAATGCATAAGGAGGATGCTATAAATATACACACAGGTTTAAAAAAAAAAAAGGTGGGGGGGTCTTTAATGGTACAAGCACGTTTGAATTAGAAAACAAGATTACATCATCACATGGGAACACATTTGTTAAAAGATCCTTATTTATGTCTCTAAAATGTAAAATATCTCAAATTTAGACTTGAATTGTAGACTTAAGAGGAGATGTCTAAAGCGCTACTTCTTCTTTGGCTAAAATAATAAGATTAATTAAATAAATATTACTCATGTGAGAGTAATTTAACTGGTAAAAAAAAAAAAAAGGAGGTGTAGTTCATAAAAACTCAATCCTCCTTCATACCTCTGGGGTGCAGACTCTTAAAACGGAATATCCAAGATGCTTCTCTTTTTTTCCGGACAAAATTTACATTGCCACCTCTTTGGTTTAGTTTAATGGCTTCTATGCCTAGGAAAAATAATGGTGAATTTGGATGTTTATCATTGAAGTGTCTTGCAACAGGGCTGGTTAAATCATTCCTCTTGATTGAACTTCTGTGTTCATTAATTCGATCTTTAAGAGGGCGAGATGTTTCTCCTATATATACTTTATTGCATGGGCACTGTATCATGTAGATTACATTTTTAGTTCTGCATGTAATAAAGCCCTTTATGGCAATGGTTTTGTCACCTATAGGGTCTTTGAATGATTTAACTTTTTTTGGTGTATTGACAATTAATGCATGCCCCACACTTGAAATTACCATGTAGGTTATGGGTTATCAGGGTTTTATCTGGAGTAATAGGGTCCTGGCAGGCTCTAACAAGCCTATCTTTAATATTCCTTCCTCTCCTGTAGGTTATCATTGGTGGTTCTTTAAAGGTACCTAATAAGTTTGGGTCATTCTGAAGGATATGCCAATGTTTTAGAATTATTTCTTTAATTGTTCTGGTTTTTGGCGTAAAGGTTGTGGAGAAGATAAGATTAGGTTTATGTTTTGGAGATTTCTTGGTTGTTAAATAGACATCCCTACTTACTGAACTCACCTTCTCTTCTGCAGATCTTAACCAGTCCTCTTTATACTTCCTTTCTTTGAATTTGTTCAACATCTCTTCTTTACTCTCATTATATTCATCATGAATCTCACAGATACGCTTGAGTCTAATCAATTGGCTTACAGGGAGGCTCTTTTTGAGGTGGTTCGGATGGAAACTTGCAGCATGTAATAATGTATTCCGATCAGTGGGTTTAGAATACAGAGATGTGGACA